TTCCGAGAGAAGCCTCATCACATGCGAAGGTTGTGCCTTGGAGAAAGCGAGGACCCATTGCCGCAGGTAACCAGAAAGTACTGCCTTGCCTAGCCGTGTTTCGTCTATCTACCCGAGGCTTCTCTCCGCGCGAACACACTCGGGAGTCCTCGCTTGCACGCGCCCGGAGTCAAAACAAGCGTGTGGTGTCGTTGCCTGAAAAGTGGCGGTCAGCGATTTCGGGCCAAGTGGACGTGATAGACGTGTTCAGAGGGCCGAATTAACCTCACAGGGGAGAAAAACTGTCGCGTGAAAAAACTCATGGCCGCTTCTGGAATAGTGGGGCAGTGAAGACGAATAATGCCTGCTTGTTTTTGTTTTGTATACTTGTTTGTTTCAACGAGCATACTTGAAATGTATAATAATCCTCCATTAGTGAAATTTTTGAATGGATTATTGCTCTCTGGGTAGCTGCGTGATCTCTCGGAAAAGCGAAATCGAGCAGCGGCGTTTTGGTCAAACTATTTAGATAATTTATCGATGTTATGTATAGCATCGCCTGCGAAAATACAGAAACGCAGTTTCCTCAAACATTTACCATGCAGAAAATCGACTCATTTAATTCTTCTTAATTGTACTTAGGTTGTGTCCGGAAAGTATTCTCAGCCGTTTGTGGTGCCCGGAGGGTGTGAAGTGTGTGTGAGGCATGGGCACTAGCTGATTTAAAAAACCTCAATTCTAGATCCTTGCCTTTCGTCAGTAGCACATCCTGTAAGTAGAATTTCTGGTCGCTATCTGAACTGGTATAATTGCAGTTCTCAGCCATTGCTTACAAAGCCGCCGTTTATTCTCCAGATTTTTTCGAAGTCATAAGTGGACAAGAGCACGTCAGGACGAATTTTTATTCTCTCGACTATACAATTTGAGCAATCCCGCAATGCGAAAAAGCATTCAAAGCAAATTACTAGTGTGGAGGCCTAATAGTCGGCTAGAGAGAGGAGGCTGGTGCGGCAATGGCTCAACAAATTGCGTTCTGGAGATTTCAGCCTTGAAGTTGAACACTCCATGATGGCGGTCCGCCCTAAAGCGCAATGATCTGACCGAGCCGATTTTAGGGGAGATTGTTGGAGCCTGAAGCCCCATTACCCAAACAGTTTGCCGGATGAGATAGCAGAAGAGCTAGACGCCCTTGGCAAATCCACTGTTCAGATGGTTCTGGAACGCATTGGCGCAAGCGTGAAAAAACCTCCGACAATCGGTGCCCGCACCAAATCGGAGTGAGCCGGCGGAATACGGCACGGTCTCGAAAGTTCCTTACTGCATGCTTTTGTCATCACAGCAAGAAACGAACCTGTTGTGATCGGGGCAGCCGAATTGTCCCCGTATGTGGATGCAAACAAGGGGCAGTTCGATGTCACCTGAACACCACAGGCAAGGAGCGTTCCGGGACCGTGTTGGGAAATTTTCGACCGAACGCACCTGAGGTTAATTTTTTAACAGCCAGCAATCCCTCACGGAAAGAAAACAAAGATTCCTGGTCACGGCTTTGGTAGCCGGCATCCGCTGGTAGTTGATCCCACCTATAACCACGGTTTTTATCACCAGGGATACTCAACCAGCCGACTGTCACAGCCAGGAACCCTACTGTTGAAGAAATCGACGAATGCGTATCCGAACAATTTCGTTAGAATGGCAGGCCAAAACAATGGTCAATAAGAAAGGGTTCGATTCGGTTGCAATGATCAACGCCCAGGACCTACCACTACGTTATCACAAATCACTATCCAAAAATTGAACGAACCTGGGGGTTTGGACGTTCTAACCTCAGACCCGCCACTATTCTTCAGAACCTTATCCGCCAACCAACTGTCACCCTTGTTCTAACATATTTTCAGAACTTCCCTGCTGAAAAATTACTTCATCAATTTAGGGATGCAAGCAAAAAAGACCTCCGTAGATTTCGGGATTCTTGACCACCGGCCCACTTTTTTCTCTGACTGAGAATGTTCCTTCGGACTGCTGTCACACCTGGCAAAGTGTGTTGATAGTACGAACGTGCTTTATTTCGAATTACAATCCGATGAGTATTGTAAGAAAGTTACGATCGTTTAAAAAGTGACAACACCCAAAAACCGATCTGAGAACTTTCCCGGACAACCTAATATCAGCTCCATGTTGCTTTATTAGCGAGACTTCGCGCCTCGGTCGATGGCCCTTGGTGCTTGGTGATAACTGGAGAATGTAAGTGCTTTGGAGAGTTGGGGTTGTTTTCGGGTCTTTCAGGAGCACATCTTTCCGCGACCAGCCTGGTTCTGAAGTCGATGTGAGATCCCTTAAACGGATAATCGAGCAGAAGCCTGAGCTTACATCACAAAAAAAAACGAGGTCAGAGACAACCAAAAGGAATTTTCGGTTTTTTTTGATGGTATGTGTGAAAGGGGCTGGCTATTGTGAGTGGCGCACCCCAAAACTACGCGAAATAAGTCCCCAATTGTGTGGGTTGACCTTTGAGAAGTTGATTTGCAAGCAGATTTCACTCAAGGACCGTGAATACTCAAAAGACATCAACTGCAAGGCTGCAAAGGTGCAGTACTTGGCGAGTGTCGGGGGGCCCAACCGGCCCCCTGTCGAAGCGTATCGGTTTTAATTTTCCGATGTAATGCGTGGGAATAAGGAATCCAGGAGACCGTGGCATAGATCATTCTCCTGGCCTAAAACTGCAAGTGTACGACGCAGACAGGACGATGGCGCGTACCGCGCACCTATTCCCATAATTGCCTAACGTGAGCGCCTGTGGGCAATCGCGGCGGGGATTCAAAGGGGGAGAGAAATGTAACCTTTTGTGTGAGCTGCAGCGCCTCTTCTCACAAACCTCCGATCCATCTTAATGTGGGCGGCCATCAAAGCGCTGGCGGCGGGGTGGCGTGGACGCGCGGCGCCCGCGCGCTCATTGCGGTACCGCCCAGCGCACATCATTTGAATGCGAGACAGGGGCCGTATTTGGTCGAGAGGTGGGAAGAGGGGTTCGTATTTTTGGTGCTAAGAGAGGGTGGAGATTGTATTTATTTGATAGTTAGAGTTCTTACTCAGCTGTCAAGGGACGACGGTAAAGGAGGGGACGGGGGATGGGTGGTACTTCCTCGCTGTTGGAGGGGATCGCATTTGCTTCTGGCCTTTATTTGGAGAAGTGTTTTGGCATGATCGGCTTTTTTTTCTGTTGCATGTGTACTATTTACTCCCCCCTCCGCCCCTGGTGGCGCTGGACATGCAAATTTGGAAAAAGTAGGGAAGATTCTCGGAAATTGTGGAAGAAAGTGGAGGGAGTTGGGGGAAAAGCTGAAATTTGGTTGGTAGAGAGAGGGGGGGGGGTCATGACAACCCTCAAAAAAAGGGTAGGGGGTCGTACGGAATCCCCAAGCAACGATTTGCCCTGACTTCGCCAAGTATTGTAGTTTGTAGTTGGCGCTTTCGCACACGACTAAAACGGGACGCTCCTGATGCGGGTGGCAAATGAGGCGTTGCTAATGTCTATAAGAAGAACACTGAGTCAGATGATGACGAGGGCTAGAATTCAGGGACAACTACACTGCTTCTGCAACATTCCTGCATCCTCAAGGCGGTATTTCCAACAAACATGCGACTAAAACGCCCCTAACCGTCCTACTCGTTAATTAAAAGCCTTTTTCGTGCCTTTGAAGGCAGAAAACGCAAAGGCTTGCGAAAATCCATGCGGTTTCCATTCAGTTTGCGTTATTACATTATATTTACATTTTATTTACATTCAGCTTATGAGATGCTCTTCAGTTTTAGCCTTTTCATCAATCTGACTCAGACTTTGCCGCATGATAACGCCTCAGTTGCCAAGTGCCATGACTCGGCGCGCGCGATGCTCGCTCCGGTGGGTGGTCAAGTACTGAGTGGGGTTTGTATACGGTATCGACATGCAGCGTATCTTTTTTCACAGGCACCGCCTCGTGTTTCTACAGAGTTGTCTTCGTGAAGATCACTATATCCTTTCTGAGATTGAGTTGGCACTATCACCTTTGATACCTCAATGAAAACAATTCCATGCTCGGGAAAGATTATCCTGTGATTTGATCCTTTAATTTTGCGCGATAATAATGCGAAAGTAATCTCAAATATGCTGGCGAAAATAAAACAATCTCTATATATATGAGAAGCTGTTTGTGTGTGTGTGTGTGTGTGTGTGTGTGTGTGTGTGTGTGTGTGTGTGTGTGTCGTGTGTGTTGTGTGGTGTGTGGTGTGTGTGTGTGTGTGTGTGTTGTGTATGCGTCTGTCTGACCACTTGAAATTGGGGTTTTGTGGATATTCACTTCAATAGACCTGTTTGTGCCTAGAATAGACATGGCATGGGCCAGCATTTGCAGAGCACACAAAGCCTCACCTAAGCTCCGCCCAGTATGGGCGGGGCGTTCGCCGGAGTGGACGAAGCCGAGAATAAAAATCCCCAAAATGCGTCCAGAGCGGTCACAAAAGGGGGAATATGAGTGAAACTAAGCAGCGGGTAGCTAGATAAATGAGAGAGCGATACTCGTAAGATGCCCATTCATTCGGCAAGTCCTTCACACTAATCAGGGTACCCTATAGGAAATTTCAACGACTATCTTCTACGGGGGGGGGGGCTAGATGCCAGGGACCCTTTTCACACGCGGGAGGAGGATCGCCCGCCTTCGGCGACTGGTAGTGGATAAAACAGCATCTAAGCTCTCCAGAAAGTATGTGTCCTGATCTCCTGATTCCTGTGAAATAGTTGTTCTACAAGGCAGTCAAACTCGGCAACACAGGACGACGTAGTTTCGTTCAGTGAGCGTGGGTTCGCACAGTTCACGGTAAGAGCTTCTGAAGGGCCAATATCGTGATGACGTGAATGTGTCCGATGATAAGAGGTTACATACTGTCATAAAGAAAAGCTAGTGCTTGATGTTATAGACTGAAGCTTCACTACAAAACGCTATATTGCACTTTAGAGTTTGCCCTCTGGTGAAGGAAAGGTGATCATTATGTCAGATGGAGTAAGTGAGAAATGTGGTACTGCAGCGAGCGCTGTTGACGAGTTTGCCGTGGCCAGCAAGGTGAGTGAGCTTCACACCACTTCAATACGTCGTGTCGGCCTTGTAGAATCAAGGAACCTGAAAATCAAGTGAAAAGTGAATAGCTGAATTGTATTATTAGACAGATGTGATTTAAATACTCGCGATTTTGGAAATGAGTGTATTGCAGTGGCTAACAGCGCAGCACAGTATCTTCTACATAACCACTGGAATTCCTACTGCAGGTGGGAGACAAAATGCGGAGAGGATAGCAGGAGTAAAAGAAAATGTTATTGAAGTGACGGACTTCGCGGTGTGTTCTTGTCATTCATCCGTACTGCTATTAGATTACACGTAAGACATAGCATAAACCAGTAGAGGCACGACCCGCTTTTACTTTGTATGCACACACCAAGCTGGGATACAATATTGCGGTATGCAAGCACCGACGATGTAACAGTTGGCTCAAAAACATTTGACAAGGATGCCGACTGATCGCGGAGAAGGTGATGCACTGCCTACTGCCCTCATATGATACCCAGGGTTCTGCTCCTAAGGTTTCGTGATAGTCTGGCTGCTCCGCCAGCAGCTCTTTCCATTAGTAATGGTGAGAGCGAGATGACAAAGTAAAAGAGCTAAAAGAGGTTGTCGCGGTACCAAAGATTGTTCTTATGCCTTATACCCCGTATGGCTGGAACAAACGCGGATCTGCAGCGGCTCCTGTCCAGAACATTCGGTAGATTCGGTAAGTGTTTTACTCTTTCTCCTCAACATTATGTCACCTACCACCTTGTACAATGTACAATTAGTAGTCAAGTCACAAAATCGAGAGTTTCTGCTCGCAGGATGTGCCTTCAAGCGACTATATTAGTTTACAGATTGCACGATTCCAGGAGCAATCTATCAAAAACACCTAATCAAAAATCTACTCCAAGTCCTCGAGTTTCGTCATCAAGCGAGGCACTTCATCTGAACGAGACAGATGTGCCTTATGTAGAGAGTCCTCTTTTCTGAGACGAGTGACATCTTCTTGTGCGCACAAGATGAGCTTATAGTTGCTCGATCGAAACATCTCACTATTAGCGCGTCTAGTTAATATCGGATTCCGCGATAAGAATAAGGCTATGACCTTTCAAATTGTCAGACGATCCGTTAAGGAGATTGCGGGAGCTGCGCTACCTTTAGAAAGTGAAAATCGGCAGAATCCGCTTTAGGCTAACCAATTAGGCCCATGGGCGCCCCCTAGGCCCATGCCGACCCTCACCGGTTGCCAGTTCCTATGTGGGTTCCGTTACCCACAATGTCGTGGGCTTCGCCTTAAGTAAGCAGCCACACCCGCGTCTCAGAGATGATATGTATTGTTCGATCGCTGATATGTTCCTGTTCAGGATGCATGCAAGTATTTCGCTGAAGAGCTCGCTAGACGAATTCGAAATTCAGCAACAGTGTCAGTTGTGACTGTACCAGTACCACCACCAGTAGGACCAGCTCCTGCTGCGGTGGTACCCACTCCGGCACCACCTTCCGCTCCAGGCTGTCTACAAGTGGGTTATCAATAAATAAAACTTGCATTCTCTACATAAGAGACCTATAGGTGGTTGGTACATGACAGTTTAAGATACATGGTACGATCACACGTAGTTTGGGTGTGCATGACTATCAGCCCCCCAGCTTTCGAAGCGTAGCGGTCCCCCCCCCCTCCCCTCCCGTGCTAACATGCGCAGGAATGGAGATACAGAACAGTATAACAGGCTAATTCCTCTACGCTCCGCCTAATACCTATTGCGGCGCAAACTCCCTTCATGGTAACATCCGTCGTGTGCGCGCGTGTCGCATGCGGCTCTCTTGGCTTTTTGCCAATAATTGCGCGTGGTAATACAAGTGAAACGCAATTTTTGATGCGGATATGATCTTAGGTGCTGCAAATAAGAACCGAAGATGATGACGAGGTCCTTAACTCAAGAGCAACTGTGCTGCTTCTGCAACATCCCCAGAGGCCGCGCGTCCCCCCTAGACGATTAAAACTTCTGAGCGTCCCACTCGTTAGTTTAATACAAGCAAAATTCAATTTCCTGATGCGAATAACATTTGAATTGTACGCACAATGCATATTCCAGCAAAATGTAGAAAAATAATTGAAAATAGCTCGAGCAATGGGTTAAAGTTGAATCTGGTCAGAGGATCGTGCAACACACAGCGCTTTGTTACTTCCAAAATTCTAATGACATAGAAGGAAAAAGCCTGACGCCTCTTATCCAGTCTTATCAGATGCTGGCAGTTTTTGTCACCAACCTTGTGTTCCCTTCCTAACCCTACTATCTTAGACCAACCTCCTACTGTTGCTGTGACTCGCGTGATGAACTCAGTGACCATACCCTTCTAACATCTCGAATCTTATCAGCAGCTGACAGTTCTTTTCATCCACCAATAATGTTCCTGTCCCGTGCCCTGAATCATACGTTGAGATCAACACCTGCTGATGCTGTGACCTGCATTACGAATATGGTGAGAGTTCCATTTTGAGGCCTCTTATCAGACATTATCAATTGATATTAACTTCACTTCCTATCACCCAACAACAGTGTTCTCGTCACACCCTCCACGTCACTTCTTGAGACCAATACCTCGCTGCTACTGCAACGGCAGTATGAATTTCATGTCAAAGAGACAGACGCACACGCACGGACATAGTCGATTATATATGGTAGAATTGTAGCCGCTGTCCCATTGTAACGCTGAAATCTATCCTTTTGTCCATTCTTTGCTCGGGGTTAGTTCCAAAAATCTCTATAACCCTCACCCGAAAATTCAGTAACCTGTAATAGCAGCCTTCGAAGCATCCTACGCTCAATGCGTTCTCCACTACTGCAGGTTTCTTTTTTCTGGAATGCACTCCCGCATTCGGGCAGTTTAACGCTTCGAATGGTCCTCTCTCGGCTTGTTGATGGAAGATAATCATGGTCATAGTGATAAAGTTAGTTGCTGCAGTTCATGGCAACTGAGTAAACAACCGTCATGCATCTGAACTCCAGTTGCTTTAGCGGCCGTACATGATGTCGATAGCGGTAAGAGCATAGAAGTGAGTTGTGTACGAACTACTGAGAGCCTGATACCTGTCATATCTATTGCATTGTGGCAGTAAGCGAGGTTGCGGATTCCCGCATGATGACGCTTCTAACCCTTATCGGTTGCTGCCACTTAGTGTCACCCGTCAGTGGGTTCCCGTCCTCCTCCCCCTATACCACTTCTTTGAACCAAGGTCCCACAGACCCTGCAACCTGCCCTACAAAGTTGGTGACCCTCCGCATCTAAGGCCCCTTATCGAATCTTATCAGATGTTATCAGCTTCTGTCAGACACCAATCATGTCCACTTTCCTTACCCTATACCACATCTTGAAATCAAGGTCCCACGTTGCTGCAACCTGCGCTAAGCATTTCGGTTTGACACCCGCATCTCGGGTCCGCTTATCGGATCTTATCAGATGGTATCAGCTCTGCTCAGCATCACACTCCTTGAAATCAGCAATCCAGGGTCCCGCAGCTGCTGCGACTCCGGCTACGATTTCGGTCCCCTCCCCTTCTAAGGCCCCTTATCGAATCTTATCAGGTGTTATCACCCCTGTCACCCACCAAAAGTATCCCCGTCCCGCCGTGTATATCACTTTTGGAACGGTCATCCTATTTTTCTGCGACGCTCGCTATGAATTTCGTGACAGACAGACAGACGCACACACAGAACACACACACACGGTCATAGCCGATTATATATAGCAGGATCACCTCCTGTCACCCACCAAAAGTGTTCTCGTCCTGCGGATATATCACTCCTTGAAATCAAGGTCCCGCACTGCTGCAACTCGCGCCTACGATTTCGGTCACCCTCCCATTTGAGGCCCCTTATCGAATCTTATCAGGGTTTATCACCCCCTGTCACCCACCAAAAGTATCCCGTCCCGCCGTGTATATTCACTTCTTGGAACTGTCATCCTATCTTTTCTTGCGACGCTCGCTACGTCAGACAGACAGACGCACACACAGACACAACACACGGACATAGCCGATTATATATAGTAGGATGTTTCGTGGAAATGCGCGGCCTCCGAGGAATAGTGCAGAAGCAGCACAGTTGCTTCCGAGCTCTGGCCCTCGTCATCATTTTCGGCTCTTATTTTGCAGCGCCTAGAATGCTATCCGCGTCAGGAAATTGCGTTTTACTTGTATTCCAAAGCGCAATTACAGGACTTGGCAAAAAGCCAAGAGAGCCGCATGCGACACGCGCGCACGCGACGGATGTTACCATGAACGGGACTTTGCGCTGCAAAAAGGTATTGGACGGACAACGTAGGTGGTCGCACTGCTTGGTTGTTACCTCACTAATCGTATAATGAGCGCGAGTTCTGCGACCCAACCCGAATGGAACATTTGCTCGCAGAAAGCTGTAACTACCACTGTGAGAAAGGCATAGATGAGCTGTGAAACGGTTTCGGTGGAATTTTGTCATTAAATCTCATAACGTGTCCTCCTTCAGGAAGAGGCCTGGTGATTCGCGCGCTCTTCACTCCCCACCATTTGCATCGAGTATGGGAAGAGCCACCGCGGCCACTGCGGCCACCTATTGGTTCACTTGTTTCACTCCTCATTTATAATCACATTGCACCAGTTCCTTGACCAAGAGATGCATTCTGATTGTTCTCAATGTACTGACAAGACAAAATTCATGGAGCCGCAAGATCTGATAATGGTATATGAAGGGTGGATTTAACACGACAGCAGCAGGGCAAAGCCTCATCTGCACATGTAGTTGAGAACAAAACTGTAGCGGAATAGTGATCGCTGTCTCGCTTCCCATTGTCAGATTCGAGGTCCCATACACCCCAGTACCCCTCACAGCACACTATCGAAGCTTTCATACTCAACCGGAGGGAAATGCGGAGAAGGCTTCCTTCTCTTTTTTTTTCGCGGCGGCGCTCGCGTTTTCCTGCTTACAGGGTCTTAGCTTTTCCCGTCCTCTATACACCTTATGCCCACCATATGCTTTTTACTGGACGCCTTTTGACTGCTGTCTGCTCGGTCATCTCACTCGTTGGCCAGAAAAATTCTTGTAGATTTTTGTGATCCGGAGACAATAAAGATCAGTCACTCTGATTGACTTTCCTCTTACTTTGCGAGAAAGTGAGGGCCATAGGTGCCCATGTGTCTCAACATTTGACCTAATCCAAGGTTATTGATAGCTCCTCCACTATGCAAACGGGAGCAGAAGAGCTTTCACGCTAGAAATCAGAAGCAACGCAGCAGAGCCTCACCTTGGTGCATCCCTGTTTTCGACCTTACGACAGATACAGTACTAGCAGTAGCTGGAGGGCGTTAAGATGATTCCCCAAAGGATCCATGCCTTACGTCGTGGTCGGCTACATCGGACGTGCGAGATCCGCTTTGTCAAGACAATGGCAACAAACGAAAAATTTTTGTGGTCGAAAACTCTTCATTTTCCGCCCCCTGTGTACGAGAATAAAATGAGTAGGAAAGGGTGAACAGGTGTACAGGGAGACCGGAATAGTTCCTTTGAGTTGCTGCAACTAGTAACGTGTTGCCTTTGTCTTGCCTTCCCTTTTTCGCAGTTTCATAAAAGACAAGGAAAGCGCTGCGGCCCTCATGTGGCAGTTCTGACATCTCCCACCGGAACTCGAATGCTACTTTCTTCCACGGATCCAGTTCTTGCGCCGTATTTTTCATTTTCTTTTTGACTATTGGATGCTATTAGCACTGAGTGACGTGAAGAAGTGATTAGCGAGCTTGAGGCAGCAGTATACCGCTTTGGTTTCATGAAAAGAGCAGAACTGGGCAACTCGTGCAGTCAAGCTGCTGGGGTCTTTATGTTGTACTTCAACTTCTTTTTCTCCTCTGAAGAGTACCGTATGGCTGTAGCGTCCGAACTAAACTTCCCACAATTTAGAACTGCGGGATTTGTCTTTGAGTTTCGCAAAACGATGTACGTAGGAGTGACGCGGGAAGGAGCTCGCCTGCGCCCATCATCGAGGCAGTAATCCTCTCTTAGGCTCGGCTTTGAAGACAAGCAGAGCCACCACGGCAGTTTCACTTGTGTTCGACAGCCCACTGAGAGGAATTATCGTTAATGAAAAAAAGCGGAACACTCGTTTGGTATCATTTTTGGTATCGATCTAACGCGATATTACAGTTGCTGCATCACATTCTCTACTTTCAGCTGTGATACCTGTCACCAGGGCACAGCATAAGATTATAAGATTTGAGATGAATGCCTCACGCTTGCACATACACTTGCACAGTTTCATATACCTTTTCCTACTAAGACTGAGAGGCAGCACCACTCATAAAGTGAGCAAATGTGAATACCGAAGACACCACTGATCCTAGACACTGAATCGGATAGTGCACGAAGAACCTCCGAAAACAGATAAAGGATAAAGGATAAAGTCTTCGCCGTTGATCAATCCCTTTGTGGGATGCGGCACGCACTCTACTTCCATTCAGAATCGTAGTGGCTTATTGAATGCGATTTGGCCTAGTGACTTGCGGTGG